TGCAAGATGACTCCCGCCAGCTGCATCACAGTGCCGTTAAAACATAAAATATGACTGGCCGACTGGAGGTGATTTGGTTTAATTCAATTATGAACATTTTAAGGTGAGTGGCGCCACTTTAAAAGACATTTCAGGTCCCATGGGCCTTCAGTTTTAATAAATAGGAGTAAAAAACATTGTTTTCTTAACCTAAAACACCTCACATTGAGGAGACATCCCTTGTATATTGCATCTCGATCAGTTGTTGAATTTGTAGTGTAGTGGCTAAAACTCTATACTGAAATGGCGAAAGTTCCCGGTTCAAGAACTGATAAAAACATATATTTTTTTTCTTTTTTATTATGTAAAAATATTAATTTTAAATTTGTACACATTTATATAAATTTGTCTGTACCATTTTACATTGTACATAATAATAATTAATTAAAACTCATTCATAGGATTTATAAATTTAATTTTAAGGTTTCCTTTTGTTTAATGTTTTACAGTAATTTTTATTTCTCTCATTATTTTATTATTATTTGCATTAGGAGAAATATTTTTGATTCATTTGTATTTATTTTGTATCATTTACTATTTTATTTATTATTTTTTTCTCAATATATAGAATTACTGCTATTCGGCATTTCATTTATAAACATATTTATTCTCATGGATTTCATAATTTTAACATTTTAAAACAATTTAATTAATAAGGCTCCAGTGCCTATGGATTAGGTTGTGCAGAATTGGCTGTTCACATTTGAATGCTGTTCACATTTGATTGAGTTAACAATAACTTGAGAATGGCCTTGCAAGGGTTGTCACAGTTACTGTTATTTTTAAGCTTTGATCAGAATATCTTTTTACAGTAGTCTTTATTATTAAAAAGTATTCACAATGTATATACATACTTACAGTTTACAAATTTATACTGCAGAATTTTAATTTAATATAGATAAAGTAAATATTGATGTCAATTGTATAAAGTTTTGTTACATTTTGATAGATATTTTGCGGGATGACAATGAAGCACCAAAACAAAATATTCAAAGCAGGGGGACAGATTCCAAGAAGAGTATGATAACAGTGAATCAAATGGATAACAACCAAAGACAGAGCCCAATAACATAAATTAGCTCCTAGTTCTTGCAGAGGTTCATTCAACCATTTGTAGAGGAGAGCTGGTGACCTTCTAAATTATAATTATTTAAAAATAAATGACAAATAAAATGGATTTATTAATAAATAAATTTATTTTTAAATAAATAGTTTATATAATGTTACTATGAATTCGGAATACATTAAATTAATTAAACTACCAATTTTTTACATTATTTTTATAGTAATGTTTTTTCCCATAACTTGAAAGATAAAACAGATTCAATGATACAATAAATAATACCACTCTCTGTTCTTATTTTCCCTAGTTACCACCACCTTAATTTATAATTTTTATTTATTTTCAAAAAATTATAATTCATGAAATAGTTCTTCTATTTGTTAATTACTTTTAATTTGTTACTTTCCTCTTATTATTTTTTACTATTTATATTTATAATCTTTTTGATTGGCTTTAAACTCTACCCATTTTAATTTTTGGAGAAATGTGTAATCACTTCAAAATATTTTTTAATAGGTCTTGTTTTTAGTAAAGGAATGATATTGTAGTACATAGTTAAGAAAGTTTTGAAATACAAAAGTATCTAAATGGCATCAGCAATTTTTTTCAGAAAAATCAATTTACAAACATAAATAATATTAAATACTGAACTGGAAAAAAAAATCAAAACTCATCTGAAATTGTAAAATCACGTTTATAATAAAAGTATGTAAGTTGGCAAATAGAATCGTCTGAGGCCATTATGCACTTCAACCTTAAATGAGTGAAATAAATTAATCAAAGGGATATTACTGAGATTATTGCAAAAAAATATAAATAAATAAAACCTAAACACAGTTAAATGAATATGAGGGTTACAAACAGGTTATATATTTTTTTTAAGAAATTTAAACTACATGTTGCATATTAATAAGATATTAGTAAATATTTTTATTTATTTTGAGTTTACCTACAGTTGAAAAAAATCATGATTAAAGTATTATTAATACATATAATAATGAATTATTATGAGAATTATTATTATTATTATGAGAATTTCATTCATTTGTAATAATACAAAGTGGTGTCAAAAAGTCTTCGATCAATCAAGTTTTTCAATTAAGGCAAATCAAGTTTTTATAAAATGATAAATGTTTCTATTTAAAAGTGGTTTTATCTTTTTAATTATAAGAAGCTTTAACCTTGCAGACATTGGAGATGTAATATATATTTAAATTAGCATTATTTTCATTTAATAACAAGCAAAGAGACCAATCCGTTGTATTGATGTTTTTTATCCTCTAAATAATACTACTTATTATTCATATTTCACTACTTTGTTATCCACTTCATTCTTTGCTCATTATTGTTAACATCAAGTTCCTTTGTATAAACTCTAGAAAGCTGAGTGTATCAGTGAAAATTGTTCTAATATTGGAATTCTTTATTTTTTTTTTTTTTTTTTTTTAACATTCCATATTTTATAATTTCTTTATATATATATATATATATATATATATATATATATATATATATATATATTAATTTAATGTTACTTCTATTTCAGAAAATGGCCAAATTATTGACTGACATGAAATTATAATTTTGTATTGAAGAAGAATTACAATCAGAGAAATTCAAAATAAAGTTGAAGTTTATATTTCTTGAATTCATTATGTCATCAAAAATTTATTAAAAACCCAAACAAATGGATACTTGAAAGCTTCAGGCATATCTAAAAACTATAGTCCTGTTGTTGAATGAGATTTAAAATGATTGTGTTTGTACGACCGCTAAAAATCTGGCAGAGAACAACATGGAAACAGAACTCTCAACTTATTTTTGAATTTCTCTGGTTGTAAGTCTTTGTCGATACACAATTATAATTTTATGTCAGTCAAAAATTTGATATTTGGACATTTTCTGAAATAAAAGTAACATTAAATAAAAAACCAAAAAAAATTATAAAATATGGATTTTTAAACTATATTACCAAAAAACAAAACAAGAATTCCAATAACGGGACAACTTTTACTGATACAATCAGCTTTCTAGAGTATATACAAAGAATCTTGATTTTAACAATAAAGAGTAAAGGTTGATATGGGTTACAAAGTTGTGGAATATGAACAGTAAGGTAGCATTATTCAGAAGACAAAAACCATTCACACAACAGATTGGTTCCTTAGCTTGTTGTCAATTGAAAATAATGCTAATTTATATATATATATATATATATATATATATATATATATATATATATATATATATATATATATATATATATATTACATCTAAATACCTGCATGGTTAAATTAGTTTACAATTAAGAAGATAAAAACACTTTTAAATAGAAACATTTATTTAACAATTTGGTTAATTTTAAGACTTTTTCACGCCACTATATATAAATTAATAATAAGGAGTGTAAATTTCTAAATATATGTTTTTATTATTGTAATTTTTTATTTACCTAGTAGATGGTGTATTGGGTATAATATATTATATTCATTATTTACATATTAGGTACTCAGTTATAGTATTTTAATTTTTTCACTTAATAAAAAAAAATTAGTAATGAGAAAATTAAAAATAATTTTAGAATATTCTTGTAATGTAGTCTTAATGTTTTTGTTAATTTTTACAACCTATGAAGGGTCTTGGGTTCAATAATATTTAGGGAAAGTACTGTTTCTAGGTAAATGGTTGCGCAAGGAGTTGATTTCACTGAGATCATGATCAACAAGATCACAAAGGGTTTCCCCGCTTAACTATTATTTAATAAAGGGAGCCCACTTTATAGAGGTTGAGTGCCCCAGGATGGTCTCTCCTGATCAAAGGGTCATCCCACAGCAGATGAAACAGAATAAATAATTTTTCTCTCATGAGCTGGGATTCAAACCTGGGAGCTTGAGCATTGGAAGTTCAGCATCCTCCCACTAAGCTACCTGACTCCCTTATATGTATATATTTTTTTTCTTCCTCTTTTCACTGATATAGTATTGAAATGGAGGGTATTCGGTTCAGTACATTTTAAGGAAACTTTGTGTTTCTAGGTTAACAGTTACTTTAGGAAGTAATTTGACCGAGATTCCACTCAAGGTAACAGTTATTTTAGGAAGTAATTTGACCGAGATCACAATCAAGGTAACAGTTACGTTAGGAAGTAATTTGACCGAGATCACACTCAAGGTCTTCCGCCTTCATTAAATCTTTAGCTAATAATGCTAAATTTATAGAGTGTGTGCTACAAGAGGATCTCCTAACCCCAGGGTCAATCCACAGCTGATAACTGTGACAGATGATAACTGAATAAATAATTATCTTCCACGTACAGATTCGAACCTGGTGTTAAGAACATTGGACTACAGTATCTTACTCAATGAGCTATCCTATTGTCCTATATATATATATATATATACATATATATATATATATATATATATATATATATATATATATATATTATATATATATATATATATATATATACATATATATATTTAGCTAAAGAATAAAAATATTGTGTTATTTAGTTTTACAAACTAACATTAATATAAAAATCATGATTTTTGAAATCCTTATTTGATAATAGTTTCAATAATTAAACTGATATTAGATATCATATATTGACAAACAAAATTCAAAGCAACACACTCACATACACACACACACACAAACATATATATATGCATGTATAGATGTATACACATATAATGGGACTCCAAGATATACCTATATTTTTCATTATTTTGTTGTATTAAGGTGGCTCTTTCCCTACTTTAGAAGATAATCTTCTTTGACACATTCCTTTACCAAATAATCACAATCCATTGTCCATTGAATGCCTATAGTCTCCTCCATTTCAAGTTCTCTATTCACACCCTTTCCGCTAGATACATTTTCTCCCAGATCTGCCTCATTTCAACACTCCTTTTTTGCCAATTCCACCATTTTTAGGAACTGGAATAGGAACTAAAATCTGTCATGCATTATACTATCTAATCCACATTTAAAACCCTCCTATTCTAACTATTTTAACCAATCAATCAGAAACTAACTAATTATGTATTATGTAACATTATTTTGTATTATTGCTTCAGTTTTCTATATACGTTTTTTATTTTTAATTAACTTGAAAAAATATTTCATATTATTTTGGCAGAACATTGTGAGCTATTGTTTTTTGTTTTTTTTTTAAGTATATTATATCAGTTTCCTTCTTTATGTTAGATGTGTTTCATTTTTCACTATTCCTGAATACACTCCTCACTGTTTTTTTTCAATCTACATCTTTGTATATAAATTATTATCTTTTTTATTTTTAATATTCAATTATGGTTATTTGTAAAGCTTTTTTTATTAATTTTATTTTTATTTCCCCTAACATTTTATACTATTTCACATAATTTTTATCAATGTATGTATATATAATTATTCATGAAAAATGGTCAGGATGTGCAGTCAAAAAATTATATTTATTGAGTTTGCCAAAGATTTGATCCAAACAAGTAGGTCATCATTCTTCTTCTCTCACTATCTCCTGTGTGCTGCTAAACGTGGAGTAGCTGTCTCTGACCATCTTGTCCAACGGTCCCTGACCTGTGCAAGCCTTCTCATCTCCGGCATGGTGCTTCCTCTCACTGTGCCAATTCTCTCAATCAAGTCTGCATTCATAGACCTTGGCCTGCCTTGAGGTCGCCTTCTTTCTGGTCTTGCTTCTAGAAGCCACCTGGCCTTACGGTCATCTCCCATTCTGTTACCATACCCGTAACACTTCAACTGCCTTTTTTCAATCGTCTCTAAGACTGATCTAATTCCTAATTCATCTCACACCATTTCATTCCCATTTCTGCAGATAAAACCTTGCTGGCATTGCGGTTCAAGAGTGTGCAGCTTTCCGATCTGTATAGTAGTACTGGGAGAAAAACTTATTTGAATAGAAGAATCTTCGCTGTTCTGCTCAACTCCTGCTTTCCAATGAGTGTCATGAATATTTGTTAGTATATTCCATTGGCCTTTTGAACTCTATTCATGACCTCCTGGTATATTCTTCAATCCTTGCAGATCATTGTTCACTGGTAGCAGTGGATATCGGTTTGCTCAAGAGTCTCTCCAACTGGTGGGTCATCATCCGGACTAAAAATACAAAATTATATAAATATAAAAGTATAAGAGAAGAAAGAGATGAAATCTACAAATGAGATCACGGTTACATAAACATAAAAATTGTAAAAACATTACAATATATTAAGAAAATGTGTTATAAATAAATCAAAAAGATAAGTATATAACAAGTAAACATAAATAACCAAATAATTAGGGTAGATAAAACAATTAAATAAATAAGAAGAATGCAAAAACAACATATAAAAACTGAAAATAAGAAATATGAACAAATGAAATATAGAAATGAAGAGTAATAAATAATAGCATTTATAATATTTTATTACCACATTTATTATTCTCTATTTCTTATATAAACATTATTTTAACACATTGTAATGTTTTAGTTATTACTATGTTTATATAATCATTTTCTCATTTGCACATTCCACCTTTTACTTTTACTTTGTACTTCTCTTAGACTTTTATACTTATTTAATTTTTTATTATTTTTTAATTTTTAGCCATGATGGTGACCCACATGCTTGTGTGTAGAAAATGTCAGCAAACTAAATAAACATAAGTTTTTTACTGCAAATTCTGACCAATTTTGATCCTTAAAATTTCAACAATCAACTATATATCCATCTATATCTCTAAATACATTTAATTATTGTTATTTCTTATTTACTTAGTTGGTGGTTTATGGGGTCAATCTTGTCTCATGAGAAAATTATTAGCTTCTTAAATACAAGCATAATGACCTGGTCCTTAATTTCTTCAATATTTCAAAACAGGCATACATTTATACAGCCATACTTTCTTTTCATTTTATTTTTTTTTTTTTTGTGGTGAACAATATAGGCAATGACCTGGAAATGTGATACAATCCTACTATCCTGCTATGATAATAAATCCCAATCATCATAGTAGAATAGTATGGATTGTTTCCCATTTCCAAGATATTGCCTGTATAGCACACCACTGTCTTGTACAAAATTCATCACCCGCCATATTATATTTGCAAAAACAAAAAATGATTGCAAGAAGGAGAATACTATTATATCTGAGTTTAGTAAGTTTCTTTGTAACTTTTAAACAATCTTTCAAAAAAGGAATAAAAAGTAGTAATAAAAATTGTTTTAATTTATGTATTTATGAAACAAACTAAATAAACCTTAGAAATAAGACAATTTCTATTATTTAAGAGCATTCTTGTGGCCTAGTTCTTTACCTTTCTACCAGGAGCTCTGCTTACTGCTGTATTTAAAAAAAAAATGGTTTCTTAATTTTTAAGGTTAGTCAATAATAGAAAGATAAATTTATTGATTTATATATATATATATATATATATATATATATATATATATATATATATATATATATATATATATATATACATATATATACATATATACTACTAAATGTATCTGTCTATCATTGATTATATAAATATATATTTTAAAGGTCTTTAAATATATACTAATTTATACTAAAAGATTTATTATCTAATACACCAGTATATGGAAATATAAAGGAACATTCAAACTACATCAACGAAATGTATGTACCATGCAGCTTCTTCGAACCCAAAATGATGATTTATTGAAAAATGTCATTTTATATGTCGTGATAAGTAAGTTATTAGAAAAAATAGTTCCAATTATTACACACACACACACACACACACACAGACACACACACATATATATATATATATATATATATATATATATATATATATATATATATGTATATATATATATATATATATATATATATATATATATATATATATATATATATGTATATATATATGTATGTATATATATATATATATATATATATATATATATATAAGTTAAGCGTCGTCGGACTTAAGAAATAAAAAAAAAGAAGGAAAAGGGAAAAGATGTAACATACACGACTTCTGAAATAACACTGCTTTATTCGTTCCATAAGCCTCCTTATATACACTTAGCCTGTTTATTTACATTACCAGATAGTATTAAGGCTGATACCGCCAGTCTCCGGTCTTTATCTCCCCCCCACCAGTTTACGAACAGGATTTTCGGAAACTTAAACATTGCTAGATCGGAGCCCACGGTGACCAGCCTTAACACTTTACAATTGGTTTTACAGTATATCCTTAAAAGAAAATAAAATAGTTCCACTCAACTGGAAAAATAATAAAAGAAAAAATAATTAAAACCACTGAAACTAAACACAGCACTTTAGAACTCCTACCACTTGAGAACTCCTAACAACAACAAAAAAAAACACAATTTCCTCTATACATGAAATAATACAACAAACAAAAAATTTTTTTACAACTTGTTTTGGTTTGACAGCCACAAAAAACATATTTCTCTGTTTTATATACAGCGGTGAGGGTACTACGAATCCGTAGGTCTATGTCCCGACTCTATCATTGGGAGCTTTAATTGTTCGATATGAACGGTTCTCCTCTTTCTGGGCTCATTCACGCTCTCAATAGTTACCAGGTTATGCTCCCTAATAACAACCACTCTGAATGGACCCTCGTACCGTAGCAATTGTTTCCCTCTGTTGGTTCCCAATTTCCGGTAAACTATTGTTCCTATTTTTAGTTCCCCCATTTGGTCGCGTACCTGTACATTCTGCCTTTCCACCCGCTTCTGCTTTTCCCGCTTAATTCTCGCCGTTATCTTTCCCCATGTTTTCTCTACCTCTACCCTATTGCTGAGAATTTGATCCACTAACGGTTCGGTAAGCGTAGTTTCCCCATAATCCCGCCTTGGCCTGCGCATCCCGAATAGAACTTCCATGGGTGAAAACCCCGTTACGGAGTGGATCGAGTGGTTATAGGCTGTTACCGCTTTCCTCATTGCCACATCCGGCTCCAACCCTTTTTCACCCTGATATACACGGACGTGGTCGCTTAACGTACTGTGCAGCCGTTCAATACCGCCTCTACCTTTAGGATGTCCTGGGGTGTTATAATGCCACGCAATTTCCAATCGCTTCACCTCCTCCCTAATCGCGGCATTGTCGAACTCCCTACCACCGTCCGAAGTAATCCTCTCGGGGACCCCATAGAACTGCACCCAGGTTTGTAGGGCTTCCGCAACTGCATTGGCTGACTTCTCCATCACTTGGTATGCCATCGCCACCTTGCTGAATATGTCGATTACCGTGACCCACTTAAACCCTTTCCAGGTAAACGTGTCAATCTGAAGGTCCTGTAGCGGCATAGTCCCTGTAGGTGTCTCCTCCTGAACTCCTCTGGGGGGGTGTCGATCGTATTTTGTGCGCATGCATATCTCGCATTTCCCAATGACTTCCTGGATGGACCTCTTCATGCCCCACCAGAAATACTTCCGACGCAATGCCTGCAGCGTCTCATTAACGCCTCGGTGATTGGTTTTCCCCTGGTGATATGCTACTGTGATTGCTTGCTGCTGCTCTTCGTCCTGTACCGTCTCCACAGCATACTTGCACCGGATGAATGTCCTGTCCACGCCTATTCGCTCGGACCTCCACATTCGCTTGATCTTATCCCATACCGTATTGTTTCCCACGTATAGGTAGTGCGTTTTACCCGCTTCCGAGGCATCCCTCAGTGCCGTACAGATTTGTTCTTCGCTGACCCCGGGCTGCGACCAAATGACGCGGATCCTACTTCTCCCGTACCTTCTGAAATCGATCTTCATGATTCCGGTTGTTCGTGTCTTCCAAATCACCTGACGGTGTTTGTCGTTCACGATCTCCTCTATTTCTTCCATCTCCGCTGCCCTTTCTTCCGCTGAGCTCTCCTCTTCTGGGGAATCTCCCCTGTCCTCAATCCCTGCGGTGTCATTTGCCCCTTCGCCATCGGGAGTCCATTCCCTCAAGAATTGACGCACGTCCTGCGATGGTCCTCCCCTGTCCTCTTCAACCGCGTTGATCATGATGGCCCTCGAGAGCCAGTCTGCCACCACGTTTTCCTTTCCCGGCTTATACACCACCTCTATGTTGTATTGGCTTAGGATCTCCTTCCATCTTGTGACCCTAGCTGAGGTTTCCTTGAGTTTTCCTACCCACTGGAGGGGTTTGTGGTCGGTATGGACTCGAAATTTTCTCCCGAATACGTATGGCCTGAAATGGTCGATAGCCCATACTATCGCGAGTAGCTCCCTCTCCAAAGCGCTGTACCTTGATTCCGCACCCGTAAGCCGACGGCTCGCGTATGCTATCGGTCGTTCACCCTCACTCCCCCCCTGGGACAAAACGGCCCCTAGCGCGTATTCACTCGCATCAGTGGTTATATTAAAAAGCTTCTCGAAATCCGGGAACGCTAACACCGGCTCCGTCAGCAACCTATTCATACATTTTCGAATGTTATTCTCCATCTCTGGTGTCACCACAATCTTCGCGCCTTTCTTCAACAAATTGTTAATGGGTACCAAATACTCTGCCATCTCGGGTACGAATCTCCGGTAATAATTCAGCGTCCCGAGAAGCCTACGAATCCCCTTGACGTCCCGTGGTACCGCCATCCGCGTGATTGCCTCCACCTTTGCCGCATCCGGTCTGACCCCCTCGCTAGAGATAGTGTGGCCTAAAAAATTGATCCGCGTTTGTCCCAGCAGAGACTTCTCGCTTGACAATTTCAGCCCGAATTGCCGGAG